AATATTTGATTTACAAATAAGGAATCCTACTTCGCGGAATTTCATTTATCACGGTAGGGTCTAGAACCGATTAACCGCGATAAACGAGGGTTCACTGTATCAGTAATGGAATACATTCTTAACCCAAGATCCTTACACTCTACTGTTGGGGGAAGGGTGGACTTTTATTTGCACTAAAAACAGCTGTCAAACTTGATCACCGAATCTAATCAACACACTCCACTTAAAACTAAGTGAAAAAACAACAACAACTAAGTGCAGTGATGAGAACACAAAATACCTGAAGGTCCAGCATTACTTTAACCAGCTTGCTGCAATAGGAGGGCGGCAAACTACACCGTTTGTGCAAGATGGTTTCCAACTCAGAACTAGGCAATTCATCAAAGTGCAGTTCCACAAACCGGTTCCTGAAAGCTCTAGAAAGCACCTGGGAAACGCACAGAAGGAAGATGGTAAGAAGGGCCTGTCCATCTAATTTCCAGATGGAGACCCTGCTACTCGCCACAAAGAAAATCGCTCCAACAGATGCACACAACAGATGCGCTCCAACAGATTTATGGCTCAACGCAACAACAAACGGAAGAGGAAGGGGGAAGCCACACACCTTTCTGCCCCCGTACAGTCCTGGGGGATTCTGAGTGGCAAACAGCATGAACCGAGGGTGTGCTCTCACAACCTCCTGTGTCTCTGCGATGAGCAGTTCACGGTTGTCATCCAGGAGCCGGTTCAGTGCCTCTAACACATCCGTAGGGGCCAGATTTAACTCATCCAAAATGATCCAGTAGCCCTTTCTCATAGCATCAATAAGCACACCTTGGAAAACATAATAAGCACTGAAAATAAATTCATAATTCAGTCCACAGCTTTTAAAACGGGTCTGTACAGACCAGCCAAGTCTCCATTCCCATTACATTTCAAAGTCACTCTGCACTCAGCCCTACATCTCACCACAGATTGTGCCCTGCATGTCAAGAAAGCTGTTTCCAAAAGTCTTTCTTCTGACTAGAGTCAAGACGAACAATATATTAATTCACCACTTCTCATAACTACCCCAGGGCTCCCTCTGTCCAAGGTTCATCCCATTCCTTTGAGTTCAACTCTACTCTTCAAAACCTGGGCCTGGACAACTTTTAATTAACTTACAGGACTCGGGGGACTCGATGCCATCACCACCACCCATACTGCCATGGAAAAGCTGAAGAATGGTCACTTGGGGAGCTGAGTCAACATGAACGAAGGGAGTGGAATTAGCCTACCTTCTTTAAACACAAGCTTCCCTGAGGCATCCGAGGTGTAGCACCCCATATATTCCTGAATGTCGGTGTGTTCGTGGTTGTTAATGCGCACACAGTGGTTTCCCGTAGCAGCAGCCAGCCACCGAATTAGGCTTGTCTTACCAACCGATGTCTCTCCCTGAATCAGCACTGGGTAAGTTCTTTAAAGAATCAGCCAATAAAAGCAATGAAAGTGGGGAGGCACAAAAAAAGAAATGAGAAAAAAACAAACAGAATTAATCTAAGCAATGGCAGAAACAAGAAAAATGGTCTCATTTAACACTATCATAAAAACATTTTTCTATACTCCTAAACTCTTAATGGAGTGTTGCTCAAGTCCTGAAAAGACTATCTAAAATAGTTCCTTGGAAAGATGAAGGAGACAGCCATGTCCGCACTCTCACCGCACTCGAAGGAAACGGTGAGTAGCATCGATGGTTCTCACTGATTACAGAGCAGGTGGCAAGTGTTCATCAACACAACCCTCTAGGGCAGCGGTTCTCAGCCTGTGGGTTGCAACCCCTTTGGGTGGGGGGGATCAAACAGCCTTTCACAGGGGTCGCCCAATTCATAACAGCAGCAAAATTACAGTTATCAAGTAGCAACAAAAATAATTTTACGGTTGGGGGGTCAGCACAACACGAGGCACTGTATTAAAGTGTTGCGGCATTAAGAAAGTTGAGAACCACTGCTCTAGACGAGAGCAACTTTGAAGGTTGAAGGGAAACACAGACTGTGTCAGTATTGTTTCCACAGAAGGTACAACTACAAACAGTGCTGCCATCCAGTAGAAAAGTCTTAATAGTGACTTTTTTAAAAGGCAGTATTCAGTTAGCAAACGAGTAGTCACACAGCACTTTTAAATGAAGAACGTTAGACTGGAAAGTCCTCAGTGGGCACGTGGAAGAGAAGTGCCACACACCCTGCAGAGACCACTCGGACTACATCCCCCAGGTTCAGCTTGACAGATGACGTGAGAATGTATGTCTCATCAATGGTGGGCTCTTTGTCTCCAACTGATATCCAGTAACCCTCAACCTGGATAAGACGGCCTCCTTTTGGTTCTGGAATAGGCTGGAAGATAAAACCAAGAGACAACGTAACTCACAATCCACGACAACTATGGCATTCTTTCAGAGAGGGGCGTAAAAGCAGGAAAAGTTGTCATCAAGAATGCTACCTTTTAGCAGATGGACATTGGGCCTCTACTCAAGTACTCCCTCAATGCAAAAACACTTTGTTCTATTAAAGTGACATTCCAAGATGCTCACCTTCCTGATATGATCGCTGAAGACAAAGTGGGTCCACAAGCAAATGTGGTGTAGAAAGCTGATGGTGCCAGGCTATCAAAAGATATAGCATCTGGGGTCTTAAATGCTTGAAAATAAACAAGAGGCCATCTAGCTGAGAAGCAGCAAAGCCCACATGGGAGGAGCACACCAGTCTGTGTGATCACGAGGTGTTGATGGGATCAGGTATCAGACATCAAAGAACAAAAAATCATAGCATTGAGAATGAGGGGGGAAATGCAGAGTGGAGACCCAAAGCCCATCTGTAGGCAATTGCACATCCCCTTACAGAAGGGTAGTGGGGAAGGGACAGAGCAAGTCAGGGTGCAGCAACGAAGAAGCATACAACTTTCTTCTAGTTCTTTAATGCTTGCTCCGCCCCCCTACCACTATCATGATCCCAGTTCTGCCTTCCAAACTCAGCTAGACCACAGGATGCACACTGGTTCAGATAAGAACTGGAAAGCCAGGTAATCCAAGACAAATAAACCCCTCATAACCAATACTGAGAGTGGCGATACCAGGAGGGGAAGGGGAAACTGATCACAAAGATCTACATATAACCCCCTCCCTGAGGGACAGACACCAGAAAAGTGGGTGAATGGAGACGTTGGACAGTGTACGGTATGCAAAACAATAACAACTTATAAATTCTCAAGGGTTCGTGAGGGAGGGTGGGCGGGGAGGGAGGGGGAAAAATGAAGAGCTGATACCAAGGGCTCAAGTAGAAAGCAAATGTTTTGAGAATGATGGCAACAAATGTATAAATGTGCTTGACACAATAGAAAGATGTAGGGATTGTGATAAGAGTTGTTTGAGCCCCCAGTAAAATGATTTTTTTTTTAAATGCTACCATGTTCACGGTGTGTTCAACAGTAAAACCTATGGGCTTGGGGGATGAAAACAAAATGTTGACATATACTAGTTTTTTTGATTGTTTGTTTTTATATATACTAGTTTTTAAAATGAGGTAGAGGTAGGTGGGTTTGGGGGAAAATTTTAATCAAAACAATTTCGCAAAGTACTTTATACCTCAATTCTGTTCTCTCATGTTCTACTAAAATTAGTCATTGTTACACTGAGGAATGTGGTTTTACATTCTTACACTCCGTATCACCTTAAAGACATTAAAAATAATGTTGAGCCTCCAGAAAAATTACACTATTAAGAAGGTATAATGATCTATCCACAGTATGGTAGGTACAAACTATTAAGTTGCACTATCTTAAATTGTCATACTTTAATAAACTTCAAAAAATGATCAAGTAGTGATAAATTAATAGTCACACAAAAGCATTTCTACAACAATTGGTCCTCTGATGAATGTTGTTATTTCGGGTACACTTGAAGCTTCTTCATTGAGGTAAGGGGTATGGAGAACAGTCTTCAAGAACACACACCAAACATTAGCAAGGAGGGGAAACAGGTAGCAATTGTTAACAGGTAAAGAGAATCTGAGCCTTTTGGCGTTTTTACAATGACAAATATTTATCCATGAGCTAATTGAATCTTTAAAAGAAAAAAAAAGGGCTGAGTTTAAAATGATTCTAATAAAATAAAATGATTCTAAGGCCCAAGAGTCCTCTCTTCCTAGAGAGAAAACAATCAACATGCAACCAAGCTAAGAGGTGAGACAGTTTCTCTCAGTCTTGTTTAGAACTGTGCTATTCTGGGAAAATCAGAAGGAAATCAGGCAGATAAATCGTAGTGAGATTACCGTGCAGCCATCAACGGAGACAATGTGTCCAACAGAGGACAAGGCACACAGATCGATCTCAAGACTAAACTATCCAGGGTGCACTTAACCCTAACAAGGGATACTCCTACAAGAGGTTTCCATTTAAATTAAATACTTATAAGAATGTATCTCAATATTTTGAATGCACAGTAAAATAAAATACATAAATGATTTACAGGGATTAGAGGGTTATCTCTAAGAGCAGGAATATGGGGGAATTTTCACTATTGGTAAAGATTAAATGTGTAAATTTTTTAAACAGTATATATCTGTAATTACTGGGGTGGTGGTGGTGTTGTAAGACACAAGCCAGCGGAAAACATGGTAGTTCAGCCTTTCATTCATGAAGTAAACAAACAGCCCCTAATCAGAAGATCGCTTACCTGCTTCAGCAGACTTTTGACATTGCCAGAGATGATGTGCTGGCAAATGAGCTTCTGAACTATGGGGTAGGAGGCCCTGTCAAGCTGGGTTAGGAAACCCAAACAAAAGCCCTAGGGAAAAAAAAACACAAAATATGCCTAACATTAAATACCCTTCTACAGTAACAGGCCAATTTACTTCAAGAGAATGATGCAGCCTCTAGTGTGCTGCTCATTCCCAGAACAACTTTGAAACGTGCTAACAGGCCCAAGGAGGGAAATGGTGATTGTGGTGTGCCCTGTTGGGGATTATCAAGCTGGAGAGTGTGGCTTGCCCTCTCCTCTGGTGAGTCCAACCACCGAACCCCTCTCCAAAGACAGACTTGATAAAGACCTCATAGAGCGAGCGCTGGACGCTGCCACATGGATTGGAGGCTGCAAACCGCAGGGCCCTGCAGAGTGTCCGAAGGCTGTAATGGGGTCTGTGGCCAGTCCCATCCACCAATTTGGTCCCAGATTCTTTCCGCACAATTGTGTAGAAGCTACAAAGAGGATACAATTCAGGTGACTTTAGTACCCAGGAAGACTGATTATTTCCCTGCTGTTCCCATTTCTCTACAGAAGACCCAAAGAACGTCTAAGCAGATTTTAAATGGTCAATCTTATACACACAACTTCCTAGAGCATGCATCAAAACCTCTTAAGGAAAATGCTTAAATCTATTGAACCTGAGCCCTGGTGACGCAATAACTAAAGAACCCAGCTACTAATGAAAAAGTCAGAGGTTCAAACCCACCAGATGCTCTTTGGCAAAAGACCCACACCTTTGGGAACCCTGCAGGACAATTCTACTCTGTCCTCTAGGATCACTATACTCTCAGACTATCTTTCCAAGCAGTACAACGAAGATCTAGCAACTTCCTTTGGGAAACTAGAAATGCAAGATGCAATTTCTGACAAAAATATCCTGAATGAGGTGAAAAGCTTTCTGTCTCATAAGGAAAAGATGTGGAGGAGCCCTTAACAAGAACTGACTGAGTATAAGCCCAGAGTCAGCTCAAATGTGATAGATACGTGAATCCCCTATGTGATCCGTAAGATGCTAGACCAACATCTACCACCACAGTAGTTCTAAAGGCTGTGCACATGGTAACATCAGTAAAGAGCAGGAAGATGTGGCCGTTTCTAGTGGAGAGGTACAAAAAGACTTCAAAAAGTTTGCAGAAAGGAGCCCTGCTGGCCCTGTGGATCAGATGTGGGCTGCTGATCAAAACATGTGCAGAAAGGCAGGCCTGCAGTATGTCGTGTGATTTCTTGACTGCTGCTCCCACAAAAGTGGATTATGGAGCTCAGCAAGATTAAATTCTTCACAACTTTAATCTTTTCTTTGTTTATTATCTATTGGTCCAGCTGTGAGGATCTGGGTTTCTTTACACTGAATTGCAACCAACATTGAAGGCTGTGGCGTTTGAGCTTCATCAGCAAGAGCTTCAAGGAGGGAATGACATGTGCTGGCTAGCTGACGCCTGGCCATCTGGCCTTGGCAGAGTTTGCGACCATTCCCACCCAAACAACATAGATGTGAGTAGAAAGCAGGTACCTCCTCCTCCCATGTGGGTGTCTTATGACTGCCCTAACAAATTACCACACTTAACTGACTTCAAACAGCACAAATCTATTCATGGTCTTCCCGTTCTAAAAGTCAGGTGGTCTTCTGAAGTGGGCTTTGGGAGGCACAATCAAGGCACTGAGGCTCTAGTGAAGAATCTATTTCCTTACAGTTTTCAGCGTTTAGAAGTTGTCTGCATTCCAGAAATCTCAACACTCAGCTTTCTATTCAATGACTGCATTTCTTTCTCTAACTCTACTTCCCCCAGGTAAGGACACTGCTCACTCAGCTAATCCAAGATAATAGCTAAATCTCAAGGTCCTTAACTTAAATCACATCTGCAAAGTCCTTTAGTTACACAAGATAACATATTCATAGGTCCTCGGGAATAATATGCAAATGGCTTTGTGGGGGAACACCCTCTCAACAAAATCTGGTAGCTATTATTAGGGGAGGGAGAAATAGGGGCCGTGTAGATGAACTTGGATTCTAGTTTCCAGTTAATGTATTAGGTAGTGGTGTGATTTAGCTGTGTAACTTAGGTCTTAGTTTCCCCAGCTGTAAAATAAAGAGATCATCAGGTGACAAACCTGCATAGGTTCTTCTGTCAAATCATTTATTAACTAATAGACTGACAGCGTCTGAAACAGTGAGAGCCCGGGGAAGTTGGGACTTCCAACCATTGCTGGTGGGAATAAATCTTCTGAGAAAATACACTATACTATTTACTAAAATTATAAAATTTTATGCCCTTTAATCCAGCACACAGAGGGAAACTCTGTCAAAATATAAAAAATAATATTTCTAGGGATTTTAAATTCTTTTTTTCTTTGCAGAAAAATTGAAATTAAAATGGAACTTTTCTTACCAACCAGATGGGAAATATTTTAGAATAAATTATGCAATTCCTCAATTTCAGATATTCATGATTAAACACTACAAGAACATTTGTAGTCAAATATTCATCACAGATGAAATGCTAGTTCCTACTGTGAAATGAAGTGGGATTTGGCTGGCATCTTTGCAAATCTAACTATATCTCACCAGTAAAACACAGAAAGAATCTACATTCCAGAAGCAAGTTACTACGTAGAGAACAGTCACAACTTGTAGTATCAACATTTTACAAGAGCCCCTGGTTTAACCCCCCACTGTTCTATCTATAGCTTCTTGAAATTTAACTACACACATTTTTGTCCAAATATTCTTGTCTCACAAATTTAGGATGTGGTACACTGAACCACTTTACTGTTCGTGGTGTAGTGTGGGTCACTCAGTTCATTTTGACTTACATCAGCTCCATATAACAGAGGGGACTTGCCCCAGGGGGTTTCCTACGCTGTAATTGTTATGGGAACAGAATGCCAAGTTTGTTATCCACAGGACAGCAGGTGAGTTTGAACCACCAACCTTTCCATGAGCAGTCAAGTGCTAAACCACTGCGTCGACAGGAAGCCAAATGGAAAGCATTTTGAGCAAATGCGTCCTGGGCTAATCTATTTGAAGCAGGACTCAGGGAGTCAATTGGAAAGCATTTTGAGCAAATGCGCCCTGGACAAATCTATTTGAAGCAGGACTCTAGGCTCCATTCTGTAGCTCATATTGCTTTATTTTAATCACAACCCAAAGTTGCATTACACGTGTCCTTCTTTATTACTTATCTTCTCCTCCATATTTAAAGTTTCATAAGGAGAACCAAATTTAATGATTATTAACTACTCTATCTCAAGCTCCTGAGCACTAAATTATTTTGTTTAAAAACTGAATGAACCAAAAATAAACCCTAAAACACTAACGTAATACTATTTCAATATTTTAACAGCGTCCATTATTTCTTTCTAGAAGACACAGAGAAGGTTATCTAACGTGTCCGAGATGACATAATTCATTTCTGACAAAGTCAACACTGACGTCTGGTTGTCAGACATAAAAGACGGAACAAAGTACATATAAAAACCAGAAGGAAACAAAGTAAAATCACTAAGCCACACAACTACTCTATAATATAATTATACAGGTAAGCCTCTGTTAACTCCAAACTCAACTGCATCAATTATATGAAACTGCTACTTTCCCACAAATGGGAAAGTAAGACTTTGTCGAGACATAAAATTTTAAGTCGGGTCTACGAAAATTTACATGAAAAAATTACATTTCATTCAGAAATTCAAACTCTTAGCCAAGAATACAAAAGTAATAAGAGAACACTATCTACTTGTTTACACATCATCATAGGTAGCAACAATTCAGAGCTTCCTAGGAAAAATGCAAGAGAGTTCATATAAAGTTCCAACCTTAAAATAGAAATCCAAATAATATTGCTCCACCAATCTTTTCTGGTTAGAAGCAAAAAACAAAAATCAACCAACCAACCAAACAAAAAAACAGAGAAAGCGAGACAAGAGTCAAGTACATGTATAAATGCACATATATATTTTTTTAACCTGGGGAGATGGTTTACAGACACACAATCAAACTTACTTTATGATTCCTTGGACAGTGCTCTTGCTCACACTCAAGCCCTTCAGGTAATCCACAATAAGAATCTGTAAGTCTTCTTTACCTTCCAATTCTTCCACATAAAGCTCTGTGAACCTATAAAGAATTAAAACTATCTTTTAAGAAGTTAATCCAGCTATTCTAACAAAAACAATAGAAAAACAAGAGCCATTATGCAAACTCATTTTAACTGCACAATGAATACACATCTTTTGACTTGAAAAATACTGTCCAAAATAAATAAAAAGATAATGTAGATGCTACCAAAACTACTCCCTTTATTACTTCTTATACAAAATGAGGTCTTCTAAAAAGCCATTGCAAATGAAACAGCTATAAAATTAAGATGAATTTATACTCATATTTTTCTTATCTTTTTTCTTTTCCCACTGTGGTGGCAATCCCAGGAACACAAGAATTTATACTCGTTTTAAGGAGGCACATATGTATGAGAAAGCTGACGGTGCCCGGCTATCAAAAAGTATAGTGTCTGGGGTCTTAAAGGCTTGAAGGTAATCAAGCGGCCATCAAGCTTAGAAGCAACAAAGCCCACATGGAAGAAGCACACCAGCCTGTGCGGTCACGAGGTGTCGAAGGGATCACGTATAGGGCGTCATCAGAACAAAAAATCTTACCATAGTGAATGATGGGGGGAGTGCAAAGCCCATTTGTAGGCCACTGGAGATCCCCTTGCAGAGGGGCCTCGGGGAGGAGACGAGCCAGTCAGGGAACGATACAGCAGTGATGAAAAATACACTTTCCTCTAGTTCCTAAATGCTTCCTCCCCATCCCACTATCATGATCCGAATTCTACCTTGCAAGTCTGGCTAGACCAGAGGATGTACACTGGTACAAGTAGGAACTGGAAATACAGGGGATCCAGGGTGGATGATCCCTTCAGGACCAGTGGTGTGAGTGGCGATACTGGGAGGGTAGAGGGAGAGTGGGTTGGAAAGAGGGAACCGATATGTGACCTGCTCCCTGGGGGATGGACAACATAAAAGTGAGTGAAGGGAGACGTCAGACAGGGCAAGATATGACAAAATAACAGTTTATAAATTATCAAGGGCTCATGAGGGAGGGGGGAGCGGGGAGGGAGGGGAAAAATGAGGACCTAATGCCGGGGGCTTAAGTGGAGAGGAAATGTTTTCAGAATGACGAGGGCAATGAATGTACAAATGCGCTTTACACAATTGATGTATGTATGGATTGTCATAAGAGTTGTATGAGCCCCTAATAAAATGATTAGGAAATAAAATGACTAAAAAAAAAAAAGAAATTTGATTACGTTAATATGACCAATCAATAAATTGTAAAATGTCTCTCACCTGTTTCTTATTCCTGGTGGGAGATTTCTTTTGCCCACATCAGTTGCTGGATTCATGCAGGCAAATAGACGGAAGTCAGGATGTCGAACTAATGGTTCTGTTAAGAAAAATGTGTCACTTTTCAACAGCTTAAAAAAATCAATTGATGGGAACACATGTACAAATGTGCTTGACACAATGGATGTATGTATGGATTGTGATAAAAATTGTACGAGCCCCCAATAAAATGATTTTAAAAAAATCAATTGATCAGCCAGTCTCCCAGGGAAATTCTAACTACACAAACTCCTAGCCCTAGCAACCTGGCCTCAGGTTGTTGCTACGTCGCCAGATATTCAAACCTACTGAACAAACCTGCTGTGTGGTCGAACCATCTTTGCCATTCCTGAACCTCACTGAAATCCCTGTCCAAACCCATGTATACAACTCAACCATAGGCTGCCATTCTCCACCCTGTTGTGTGGACGTTCACTATTGTTTCTTTTACCACCTATCGATCTGTGAAGATTGTGCCACTGTATATGCATATCCAGTGCCTGCAACCCATATACCTTGGTAAATTATGTTTATTGGCTCCTAGCACTACTCACATTGTCTAACAAAACTACAGTGCAGTTTACAGTAGGATAACTAGCTGAAAGAATCAACAATTTCCATTGAGAGACCCATATACATCCACCATATAAATTCATCCAATGAATCTTATTCTAAACCACAGCTTCGAACCAGTTCATTCCAGTCCAACCCCCGTTGAGAATTTCTATTTCCATTCCATTTCAAATATACTGAATCAGAACCTATATCTTAGCAATAACCTTGATTTGGATCTAAAGGATAAACCTAGGAATTTGTTCATCTGAAGGCATACGAGATGATAATCACCCTCAACCAGGGGTCAAACTGGAAAGAACCAGTCCCTAGGCCTGCTCTACACTGGCCAAAAGGCTTGGCATTGCCTCAACATACAAGGGGGCCTATTGCTACCTGTGTCTCCTCGATCCAGCAACACCAGGGAGCCCATGGATCCCTCAAGTAAACCACTCAGGCACTCTAATGTTTCTGGAGCAGCCAGATTAATCTCATCCAGCAAAATCCATTCTCCTTTCTTCACTGCCTGAGCTAATGTGCCCTAGAAGAAAAAAGTACAATGTTAAGAATTCATTTCAAACAAAGACACACTCACAAAAAGCAATTATACAGCCAAGGTTAGAACTGTAAGAGTAAACCTCTCCCAGGCCTTCACTGCCCTCAGGTCTGCCGAGTAAGGCTTCATTAGCTGTTTTAATGTCCAAAAGGGTCGAGGGAATAGCTCTGAGCCTTAGATGCAATAAACGCTATCTTCTTAATATATGGATACTCAGGTATGAGCTAAATGGCTATCTGAAAAACAAAACTCACTGTTATCAGTCCATTCTGTCTCACAGGGAACCTATAAAACTACTCCATAGGGTTTCCATGGCGATAAATCTTTACAGAAGAAAACTACCTCATCTTTCTCCAGCACAGCAATTGGTGGGTGCGAACTGCTGACACTGTGGTTAGCAGCAGGTTAGCAGTACAACGATTAGCTCGGTATGCCACCAGGACTCCTTCAATGGCTACGAGAGGCACTAAAGGTACATCCAGAGTCAGGTTATGAGAATGTCAAGATCAGCTAACTGGTCAAGCAACCAGAGTGTACAGCGGTGCTTTCTCCATTGCCAGAGAAGATCTAAATCCGATTTCCACACTGTGGCTTCAAGAGAGGCGTTTCTCTCTCATTGTTGTGGACAGGTGCATCAAAGTGGTTCAGATTCATAGTAATGGCATGTGCAACAGATGAGACACTGCCTGGTCCTGCGCCATCCTCACAAGTGTTACTACGTTTGAGCCCACTGAAGTTATTAAGTTGCAGCCACTATGTTAATCCATCCTCTTCAAGGTCTTCCTCTTTTTCGTTGTGCTTACACTTTTCCAAGCATGACATCTTTGTCCAGGGACTGGTCTCTCCTGATAGCATGCCCAAAATATGTGAGACAAAGTCTTGCCATCCTCTGTACACTGGTACAGATAGGAACTGGAAACACAGGGGATCCAGGGCAGAGGATCCCTTCAGGACCAGTGGTGTGAGTGGTGATACTGGGAGCGTAGAGGGAGGGTGGGTTGGAAAGAGGGAACCGATTACAAGGATCTGCATGTGACCTCCTCGATGGACAACAGAAAAGTGGGTGAAGGGAGACGTCGGACAGGGCAAGATATGACAAAAGAATAATTTACAAATTATCAAGGGTTCATGAGGGAGGGGGGAGGGGTAAGAGGGGGAAAAAAACGAGGACATGATGCCAGGGGCTTAAGTGGAAAGCAAATGTTTTGAGGATGAGGGCAATGAATGTACAAAAGTGCTTTACACAATTGATGTTTGTATGGATTGTGATAAGAGTTATATGAGTCCCTAATAAAACGATAAAAAAAAAAGATCACCCGAGCTCTAAAAAACAATGTCTTGCCATCCTCATGTCCATACTCTGGGTCTACTTCTGTCAACATAGATTTGTTTGTTCTTTCGGCAGTTCATAGTACAGCCAACATTCTTCACCTGCACTGTGATTCAAATGCACTGATTCTTACCTGGTTCTACTTATTCAATATCCAACTTTGGCATGCATATGAGGTAACTGAAAATAATACCACAGCTTGGGTCAGGCACTCTTAGTCCTCAAAGTGAAATCCTCACTCTTCAATACTTAAAATTCAAGCCTCATTGAAAGCATGAGCAAAGAACAAGGCTCCGGGAATTGATGGAGTACTAACTAAAGTCTTAAACAAGCTGATGACGCATGGGAAGGACTCACTGGTCTATGCCAAGAAATTTGGAAGACAGCTACCTGATCAACTGATTGGAAGAGATCCATATTTTTACCCATTCCAAAGAAGGGTAACCCAATAGATTTCACAAATTACAGAACAGTGTTATTGATATCATGTGCAACTAAAACTTTACTGAAGAACATTCAATAATGATGGTAGCAATCCACTGACAGGGAGCTGCAAGAAATCCGGTGGAGATTAAGAGAACGTGGAAGAAGGGATAGCCCTACTAATGTCAGGGATATCCCTTGGCTCACTGAAGAAACTACTAGGAAAGTTTTTACTTACGTTTTCTTGGCTGTGCTCAGAATGAAACTGTACATGGATCAAGAAATAATTGTGAAAACAGAACAAGGGAATACTGCCTGGTTTAAAATCAAGAAAAGTGTGTTGTCAAGGTTGTATACTCTACTCAAATGGATTCAATGTGCTGTGTGAATAATCAGAGAATAGCTGGACTGTATGAAGAGCCCAACATTCGGACTGTAGGAAGGAGACATCATATATATATACGTCACCTTCAGTACGCAGACGGCACCCTCCTGCTTGCTAACAGTGAGGACTTGAAGCACTTGCTGACGAAGACCAAGACTGCAGCCTTTAATATGGATTAAAACTCAATGTGAAGAACACAAAACCCTTACAACTGGACCAATAGGTAACATCATGGTAAATGGAGAAAAGTCTGAAGTTGTCAAGGATTTCATCTTGCCTGGACCCATAACCAGCCCTCATGGAAGCAGCAGTCGAGATCAAACGTGTATTGATTGGGAAGAGCTGCTGCACAATACCTCTTTAAAGCGCCATTTCCAGAGCAGTCAAAAATACATCTTAACACTCGCCCCTGTGAAGAAAAGTGTGGCAAACACACAAGATGGCACCTGGATAGCAGGAAAAATAGCATCTCGGCCTTTTAGACCTGTCTTTATATAAACAGCCATCGAAGTGAGGCATCAACTACGTCCACGTGTAAGAAGCACACGGGCCTGTGTGATCCAAAATTTGCAAGTAATAAAAGCCAAATTCGAAGGAGGGAAGGAGATCAGAGCTTAAACTCTGAGCATTGGTTTGCAGAAAGCTAAGGATGGCAGTGGAAGCCCCACATCCATTTGCAGGGTCCCCACATGGATTAATCATCTGGCGAATTCCCTCTGACCATCGCCCAGAAGAGTAAATAACTTTGCTGTCAGACAGAGCACCGAGAAGTTGATTATGACGGATGTACTTAGGTTAAAATATAACACCGTTTGAGCTCCTTTTTGACACATTTTTAAGCTGTTTCAGTTTCTAATGCTTTGTTCTCTTTTTGAGATTCTTCTGTTTTCTTTTGTTATTATTGCTGGAGGTTTTTGGGTTTTGTTGGCTTCCTGTTTGGGTTCGTGTAATTTTCTATATATGAACTACTCTACGACAGGTAAATAAATATAAGGAGGACACTCACAACAATGAGAACAAGAGTATGTCCTGGAATTGATAGTGGTAATGACTGAACAACTCTTATTACTATGGTGGAATGATTAAATTGTACAATATGTGAAGTATATGCCAATAAAACTATTTTACAAATAAATAAAAGTAAAATAAAATCCTAAAATCCACTGAAATTACACAGCATACACGAAATTTGACGAATTTTAAATTGGTTTATACCAGTGGTTCTCAATGCTGCGAACCTTTAATACAGTTCCCCCTCATGTTGTGGTGACCCCTCCAAACCATAAACTTATTTTTGTTGCTACTTCATAACTGTAATTTTGCTACTGTTACGAATCGGGCGACCCCTGTGAAAGGGTTGTTCTACCCCTATACTTTTGTCTTCATGCTGATCCTAACAAATATTCTTCTATAGCTATTTTTAAAAAACAGAACAAAACCAGTAATACTCTGATGTAGTGTAGTATTAATAGAGTACTTGACGTTTTAATTGACTATTTCATTAAGTGAACAATTTAATCAAGGATTCCTTAGAAAAATCCTGGTGAAAAAGATAAAATTATAAAACAGAATTTCAGTTTCAAGAAATTCAGAAATCATGGAACGCTTGAAACTGTTGTCCTGTCTTTAAACTTTAAGCCCAAATAGCCCACATTATCTTCTTTAAATCAAGCAACAGTTTAACTAGTCAAGAAGCCTGCCTCGGGAATTGTGCTCCTGTAAGAACCATCTGCATGGTTCCAATGCACAGCAGCCGGTCAAAGATTCCCCAGGAGGCGGAGGGAGCAAGGAGGATGGCTGTTGGAGGAACACTCAGAGAAGGGAGGGAGACTGACCGCACCACTGCCAGCACGGGACCCTTCACACGACCGGTTACATGAGACAGCTGCCGCACTGGCCGGTGCTTTCCTGTGCGTGTGAAGGAGCAGCCAAACGTTTGTGGGACATGGGGTTAAAAGATAACGGAAGTTTTCCGTGAACGTCTAGATGTACTCTCAGCAGCCAGTTTTAATTTGTTAACTGGGGAACGGATACGGGGCCTTGCCTCTCTGTCTTAGACAGATACACAAAAGAGGCTCTGTAAAATATGTTGTTATTATTGTTGGGTGCCATTAAGTCCGTTCCGACCCATAGTGATCCGATGCCCAGCAGAACTAAACACTGCCCAATCCTGCGCCATCCTCACAATGGTTCCTCTACCTGAGCCTTTACTGCAGCCCCTGTGTCAACCCGTCTCACTGCCACCCTACTTCACCAGGGACTGGTCTCTCCGGACATGTCCAAAACATGTAAGATCGAACAAGTCTTGCCATATAGGGTTCACTATTTACCTCCAACTACCTCGTTAAAAATAAATAAATAAGCACGATGCTCATGAAGCCTTATAAATTCGAATGTTTTTTTATAAAATCATCGCCTCAAAACATTATTTCATTAAATCTTAAATGGAAAGCACTAAAATATCAACATGAAGATAACACCAGACAGCAGCCTGCCTAGAATTTACACTTTTCAATACATCAGCATTCGTTAACTCTAAATAAGTGAAACAAAATACCTCGACAAAAGCAAACAGGAGGGCATTTTCGGTCATTTTCATCTGCTGTTGGGCGTGGCTGAGTCTCAGGCCGAAGGCTTCCCATTTCTCTTTCAGGAGCGGTCCTGGAAAAGAAAAGGGCAAGAAACAAGCACGCGCTTGAGTCGTGGATACACAGCTTTCCCAAGTCACCAGCTACTGGGCGACCTGCTCTCGTCCTCGCGCCCTCCTGTGTGACAGACAGACTGCTCCGGTGTCCAGTGGCTGATGTTTCTGTATACATCACCGCCAGGCCTTTCTGCTGAGCTACCTCAGGATGGACCGGAACTGCCAACCTTTCTGGTTAGCACCTGAGGGCACTGACCATTGACAACACCAGGAACACATTGGAACTTAAGCACACACAAGACAAGAGACACTCAGATGGTAAACATATTAAAAGTGTAAAATTAAGAAGTCTAAGCATGTACATAATTCTAAATACATCGGCGCTGTCAGGTAGGCGTTTGACTGCGAACTGCAAACTTGGCAATTCAAGATAAAAACGACTTTCTCCCATAAAGATTCGCAGCCTGGGAGATTCTATACAGTGTCACTAGGAGTCAGGGTCAATACGATGGCAGTAGGGTTTGTTTGGTTTTGTTTATATCAGCACTATACTAAAAGATATTCATTTGTAGAACTGTTAACTCATTTGTCTTCATGCCATCCTGTTGAAGTTGGTATTCTTATTCCCATCGTACAGCTCAGCAAACTTAACCAAGCTGCCAAGAGCCCTGAGCTGTGGGATACAGTGCTGTGAAGTGCCACCGTTTTACTAGTGAATGTGACCTACGGACCACGGCCAGGTGCGTGTACATCAGCACTACCTGTCTTTGTAGGAATCATGCCTCGAATCCTACGCTCATTAACACTTCACCCTATTGCCCCAATAAGTCCGATGAGTTGGAATGGGTATAGCCTTATTCTTCCGCGGCCCCCCGAACGCCTCTCCTGATTGTGCTAGCTGAGCCACCTCTGCATGCCCTCCTAGAGCGAGCCTGGGCCACATCTTACCAGTGTCGCCCTCTTTTCCATCCTTATGGACGGCCGACTTGTGAACATGCTGCATTAGTCTCAGGAGATCATGCCACCGTTTCTGCCGGTAACAGGTCTGAATGTGCCCCAAGAAAGTGAAGTTCTGCTTCTTGGAAAACGTCTGGGCAAACAGTTCCTCAAATCCCTCCCGTAAGGGTAGCCATATAAGCTTGTGGTCCACAGGTTTGTAACTGAAATGAAATGAAAGGTAAATGTGTCTCACCAAAACCAGAGAGCCTGGCCTGAAAACCAGGACTGAGAATCTCATCAAAAGCAGAAATACTACCAACACAAACTTCTAAAATCTCTCAGAAAGTTTTAAATTATAACCCATTTTCCTCACTGAAGCCCTTGAAAAGTCTATAATAAAAGTCAGTAATAATACTAGATAATAATGATGAAAAAACACAAATACCTACCTAACATTAGTAAATGGTATATTTAACAAGTTAAAATAAATACCATGTATAGGATTGGTAATAAATCATTTTTATTAAAAGTGAGTTTTTAAAGTTTCAAGACATTTTAGAAGAATATAACATTTGAAACTGAGCTAATTTCTGTGCAGAAGGCTACAGATGCCAGTGAGCGCCCAAAACCCATTGCAGAGTCCCCACGTGCTCTAGCCTCCAGGGACCCTGCTCTGACAACTGGCCCCGGAGGTGAACAGCCTGTCCACTAGCCAGCGAGCGCCAGAAAGTGGGCTAATGCAGATGTAGTTAGGTTCAAATGCAACACCTTACCATTCGTTTTCTCTTTGGACCAATTTTTAATTTGTTCTAGTTTTTAATATTTTCTGCTTACTTTTCTATTGAGGTTTTCCTATTTCATTTTGCTATTACTGTTCGGCTTTTGGTTTTATATTTTTCTGTATATGAAATCTAAGAGATGTAAATCTACAGAGACAGAAAACAGATGAACAGTTTCTTAGGGTTATGGCAGGGGAGGTTGGAGAGAAAGGGAGAGGTAAGAATTATAAAGAAAATGTCCTAAAATTGTTTGGGGTAATAATTACAGAACTCTTTTAAATATGACTAAACCAATGACTTGTATGATGAGTGAATTATATGTCAATAAAACTGTATTTTTAAAAAGAAACGGAATGTACACTTGGCCCGTGCATGCTCAACAGTGGTAATACCTTTCCCAAGGACACAAACATTAGTGTGTGGGGGGGGGTAGGGTGGGAATCTTCAATATTTTAATGGTTTGTGGTCTCGATAAAGCCATAGCTATTTTTCAGCATTTAATTTCTCTCCTATGCCTCAGCAGTTAGTGTCTCTACGTCTCTACGTAGAGGTAGGATCTTAGTAGTGTAAATTTAATTTTCCTGAGAGAATTGAAAGGAGCTCTGATGATGCTGTGGGCTACGGGTTGGGCAGCAGAGAGATGAGGCCGTTTGTCCCCGTGAAGATTTACAGCCTCAGAAAACCCAAAGGGCAGCTCTATTCTGTTCTAAAGGATTACGATGAGTCAGAATTGACTTGCTGGCATGAGTTTGATTTCGGGTTTGGGCAAGGTGACGAGGGTATAGGGGTAATTTTTAAATGTTTAAGCTGAGAAACACTACTCCAGTTAAAAGAGAAACTGCTGCACCAAGACTACTCAGTCACCATTTAGCGCCTTTCTGAGGATGGTTTTATCTGCTTCAGCCAAGTCCTGTGCCCTCTCCTGTTTTACATGGGATCTCTTGGGCCTTGCCCATCCCTGCCTCTACTGAAATGTACTTTACTTCTCCACTCGCAGATAGCATGAAGGTTTATGTGCTGCCTACAAAAAATCGACTTCAAATATAACAACAAAAATCAGTCAGAAATTAAATGAAAGGAAAAACACCAACACTGTGAAAAGCAAGTGGTTTATCTACCAACAGAATTCAGACAGCAATCTGCAGTGATGTAAGAAGTTCAAGAGTCTGGTGACTTTACTTTTAGAAAGTTTATCCTTAATAATATTTGCTTTAAAAATCAATCTATAGGATCCAGACTTGCAAACCAGAATAACTGTCTATAAACCCTTTTAACATATTTAATACATGTCAAATATATTGAGCATATATTATATGACATAATAAAAACAGATGGAACCAACTACTCATCCCAATAGGACTGCTGCTCCTTCCCTACCCATCTCCTAACCCAGTCTTCAATTTGCTTGCTCTGTTTTGTGTCTTTCCATCTTAGTATAAATCAGAATTCTTAACCAAGAGTAACCAAAATAGCTAAAATGCAATATACATGCACAGGTTATATTTGCACCCCTTTCCAGTAACATCAGAGTACAGTAAACAGGCATACTGCCAGTTATACAAAACATGAAAAGTAGAATACTCTCCTTTTGATAACTGATACAAGCTCTTAACAGGGGAAAATGAATGTATTAATTACTTCACCGAGCTGACAGCAAAACAAAGCCATAGTCACTGAAGAATCTGATCCCATCAATTCCATCAGGACGAGTAGGCTGCTGCGTGCTCGGTATATTTAAAACTACTTGCCATGGTTGACATTTTAAGACCACACATTCTTAAGAGAAATAGAGTCTGTACATGCTCCATTCATGCAAGATTAGTCCCATTTGAGTTCTGAATACTAAATAGTAAAATGTTACTGAAAACATACCAGTACACATAGTAGTGTAAATATGTCTGATTAAAATTAAAACAATAAGTCCCATATATGGATAAGAATACACTACCCAGTACCTCAATCAGAGACTAAGAAGATGAGTGGTGATTAACTAAACAAAAGTTAAGATTGAAACAAGACAGATAGAGCATTAAGGGAAAATAAAGGGAACGCAGAAGAATAAGAGAAATAAGCCCCAGCTAAGAGATGCGAAGCTGGAGATAAATGTAAAAGCTTTCACTGGCACACAGTTGAAGACATTAAGTCATGGGTTAGGTGGGCAAACAGCGGCAGGGTGCCAGCGGACGGCCCAGCCTCGGAGAGAAGGCAGGATCCCAAGCTAAGGACTGCAAGAGCCTAATGTGTCCTCGGGAAATGAGAGCTTTCCGGCAGACTCCACAAGGGCAAGGAGCACAGTAAATTCCATTATTTATGTCTTTAAAGATTTTTGTAAAGCACTAATTCAAAGTTAATTTAATGAGGCAGATCCCAATACAGTTCAGCCTAAGTTATGCCTAAAGCCTCCATCAGTTCTACATCCTTCAAGATGAGCTAAAGATGTGCACAAAACTAACCACCTCAAAATCACCACAGGGAAGCTGTGCATTTCAATGATCACAGTGGCGTCCCAAGAGCAACATCCCAGGAGCAATGCTTAAGCACTAAGAGCTGAGACAGGCACTCTACAGAGTGTTTCAGAGTCTGCACTGCAGGCACTTAGATAACTGGGCTGGGTTCACAGAAACTAATGGATTACATCCTTGCCTGCTTTTCCCCTGCCCATCCCACAGTGTGAGCTCTGAAAGCAAGGGTCTCGGGTGTTCTTTAAAATGAAGGGAAACATGCCCTACCAGGGAGCAACTCAAGAAATCCAATAAATATTTTGCTGGGGTCGAGAAAATAAGTGCCAGGCTTTGACTATTTATTCCCAGCCATGCTTTGAGTTTGATAAGAAAATGTTTGTGGGGAATCAAGGACGGATGATCCCTTCAGGACCAGTGGTGAGTGGTAATACCGGGAGGGTGGACGGAGGGTAGGGTAGAAAGGGGAAACCAATTACAGGGATCTACATTAAGGTGACCAGACGTCCCGCTTTTGGCAGCACAGTCTGATTTTTAACATTTTGTCCCGCGTTCTGCGGCATTTTAAAAAAGTCCCAATTTTTGGAAAGAATGCACGACAAGCTAGAGTATACGGTTTTCGACTGCCATGTGGCTATTTTGCCAGGACATGAGTTTTATCAATAGCGTCCCGATGGTGTCCCGTTTTACCAGTGTTAAAATATGGTCACCTTAATCTACATATAACCTCCTCCCTGGGGGACAGACAACAGAAAAGTGGGTGAAGAGAGACGTTGGACAGTGTAAGATATGACAAAATAATAATTTATAAATTATCAAGGGTTCATGAGAGAGGGGGGAGCGGGGAGGGGGGGGTGAGCTAATTTCAGGGGCTTACGTGGAGAGCAAATGTTTTGAGAATGATGAGGGTAACGAATGTACAAATGTGCTTTATACAATTGATGTATATATGAGCCCCCAATAAAATGATTAAAGAAAATGCTTGTGTTCAAGCAATGAATACAAAAGGCGGGGCGGGGATTAAGTAGCACTTACCCTCCAAGCAAGTCTGCAGTGTCACTTTGTTGGTTCATATTAACAACTCTCAAATGGTGACCTTTGAAAAAGAAAGGGGGAGAGGTAATTCCAAAATTTTAACATTAGTCACTCGTAGGGGGATAAGGATATGTAACACCGTGAAGTGTGTGTCCCCTTTGATCCTCCGTTTCACTTCCTTCCAGGAGTTCCAACCATTCACAATGTTTACAAAACGTTGAGAACTGAACAAATTACATGGAGATTCACTGTGGTATTATTACTGTGGTATTATTACTCCAGCTTCGCTATGTGAGAACACTAAGAAAAGCCCTGCCTTAAGTCCATGCCTATATATGATGACATAAACTAGGAATGCATCAATTATAGTATCTAAGATCAATTATATTATTCAGTCATCAAATACTATATGTGATATTACTAGTCATTCAAAACAATGAGACAGTTCTTCCCCGAGATTTGTTTAAACTGTTTAACTGGGTGCAATATGGAGAATATCATCCCATTTGTTTCAAAACAATAGCTACATGTATAACCCTTTGTTAGAATCTCCCCTCCCCGCTTGGTTCTCAGATGAGCTCACAATGCTGTTTGCGTCTGGATGTGGACTGCCTTATGGAGCTGAGAAAGGTAATACCAGTCTGTTCACTGCGGTATATTTCTGAGGGGAACGACTGCATGCAGAATGGCAGCATTTTTTAAACACTGGTGTTCCCTGGACATTTTTATTTAATAAAGGAGGGTGGAAGAGGCAGCCACTGTGAAAGGTTGATTGTCTAGAGGAGAAGTATTGCCCTTACCTGTAATGTGAGCCAAGTACTGGACAGTAGAGGTTTTGCCAGTTCCGGTCTCTCCCACGAGCAACACGGGCTCCCCTTTGCTGACACACACAGCAAGCTGCTCAATAAGAACAGAGGAGGGTCGTGTGGCTGCAAAAGTGAGCTTCTCTCTGCGGAGGGACAAAGCAGTCAGAAACCAGCCTCCATGCATCTGCTATTTGGAGCTACATTTCCCAAACTCACAAACAAGAATGAGAAGAAAGCTCAGAGCACCCATCTCCTTGCCCTAACAGATGTCATTCCTCTCTGCCATCGAGTTGATTCTGGCTCATAGTGACCTTACAGGACAGGCTAGAACTGGCCCTGTGGGTTTCCAAGACTGTAACTCTTTACAGAAGTAGAAAGTCTCATCTTATTCCCTCAGAGCAGCTGGTGGTCTTGAACTGTTGATTTTGCTGCAGCAGCCCAACATGTATCCTGCTACGTCTCCAAGGTTTCTTTACAGATGTCCTGACCACGTAAGAAGTACACAATTTGTCTTCCCTGCAAACACGAACTATTTATGTACCTGGTACTTTTCAAGGCTCTGTATAGCTTAAAGCACCAACAATAAACTATCTGTCCTAGCTGTATATCACCCTAGGAAATTTTCTTAACCTCTCAAAGTCTCGGTATCTTCACCTATGTGTCTAAAGTACCTAGTTCATATGATTATTATAACGCTACATGAAAAACAAAACCTTGCAAAAGCACTTAGCATCATATCCAGCCAGAGTTAAGTACTAAATGTTCAGAGGTTTACATAATCCCTGCCTTCAAGGAATTTGCAGACTAATTGTTAGGGCACAGGCTGACGTCCAACATTAACGTTGGAAATATCCTCAAATTAAAAACTCACTATCGAGTCAATGCTGTCTCAGGGTGACCCTACAGGACAGAGTAAAACTGCCCCTTTTGGTTACCGAGGCTATAAATCTTTATGGGAGCAGAAAGCCTCCTCTTTATCCTGGGGAAAAACTAATGGGCTTGAACTGCTGACCCTGTGGTTAGCAGCCCAACAACGGTCCACTATGCCACCAGGGCTCTTACATGAAGCACACTAGCCTGAACAAAAGCAAGGGCTCATCTCTGCTGATGCCAAGTCAAAAACAAGCATTCCCTTGTTCACAGACACACTCTGGAAACACAGTCACACGACATCTTCCAGCAGGCCCCAACCACCCCACGGTTCTCGATGAGCTCACAATCCCGTTTACCTCTGGATGTAGACGGCCTCACTTTGCTTCCGCAGAAGCCGCACACGTCCCACTTGCACATCTAGCTCATTGATCACAATTTCTGGTTTGTAAAGTTGACAGAAATATTCAGCCTGAGGGAAAGGAGAGTTCACGTAAAATTCTCATAATCTTCACAGATGTCCTGATGCATCCACTATCTCTTTACAAAGACGCCCTCTTTATTTCCACCATCAGCAGCTAAGCTGGTAGCTAAGTTCTTCTATCCTTCTCGAACTTCCTCCGACTTAAAAACAAAGCATGGAAGGGTACTTGCTCCTCCACCTTTAGTTGCAGTGTGGACTTCCACATGGGGCAGCAGAGGATGTTCAGAAAGCTGCTTTCCTGAAAGACCTGGGGAAAAGTTACGGAGTGCTGCTCCAGCTCTGTGCTCCTCTGCCTTCAAGTCCCACTAGACCGCAGGAGACAGCGGCCCCACGTAAACATGGGCCATCTGACGGCAGCTACAGCAGAAACAGATGCGGGACAGACACTGCTGGACATCGACCCAACTGCCCTTCCTCCTGTTCCTCACCGACCCAAAGGACCCAAATGTTGTTCAGGTCTGGCGCAGGAGTCAAGTGCTCAGAGAAGGCAAGCCCCTCCCCCCAAAAGGAGGGAGTACTGATCAGTCTAAGCCAGTCGTGATTTCATTCCCTTGCATATGATCACGGAGATATTTCTATATTGTTTAAGCCTCTTTTTACTAGGAAGCATGTTCTGTTAGCAGTAACCAAAACCATTCCAAGTGTTTCAGAAGTCAGAGAAGCCTCCCACGACTGAAGTCCAGACATGGGGCTTTAGAACAGGCATCATTCATGCAGGAGGCCAGGGCCGTGCCCTAAGATGGACCGAGCCCACCACTGCCACTGCCTCAGCCGAAAGAGCCCCGCTCCTCTACAAAATCCTTTCCTATCGCGAAAATGAGAAAATACTAGCAATGCTAACAATGACTCTAGCCCTCCAAAATGGCTCTATAGCCATTCACTGTACTTATTCAGCTTTTCTGAAGTTTAAAGATACTGATACAATGATTGGGAAAATGATACGGTACAAAATTATAGACAAAAACAACTCACTGCCGTCAAGTCAATACTGACTCATAGAGACCTGCCTCTGTGAGTTTCTGAGACTAACTCTTTACAGGAGCAGGAAGGCCTATCTCCCAAGGAGCCACTAATACAGTGGTTCTCAACCTTCCTAATGCGTGACCCTTTAACACAGTTCCTCATGTTGTGGTGACCCCCAACCATAAAATTACTTTCGTTTCTACTTCATCACTGTCATTTTACTACTGCTATGAATCAGGCGACCCGTTAAAGGCTACCCCCAAAGGGGTCACGACCCACAAGTTGAGAACCGCTGCACTAGTGGTTTTAAATCGCCTATCCTGCGGATCACGGCCCAACTTGTAGCCACTACACTCAGAAACAAGTGTTACTAAGTGCCAGTTCTGAGTCTACAGCCTATCGAATAAGTGCTCAGCACAACACTGGGTAATATGGTATACGCAAGGCATCGAACCTGAGAGAGCTCACTCAGGTTAGGTGTGGGAAGTGCTCCGAGAACTACCTCACGGAGGAGGTGTGCGAGTGCTATGGTCATGAGAGAACACAACGACATCGCTAATTCACAGAGCAGGCAGCCCTGCAACAGCTAGGTAAGGACCAGAGGCCAGTCACTCACCCAGGGGTCTTGCAACAGGAAAGGAAAAAGCACCACATACCTTTTTTTTGGAAATGTTTAATTTGCTTCCAATGACTTCTGCCATTTTAAGTCTGCTTTTATGCTTAGAAAGCATTGCTGTGAAACAGTCCAGAGCCTAGGAAGAAAACCAAGTGATTTTTAGAATACTGCATTTATCCCAGAGCATCACAAGGCTGGCTGGCTGAGGGTGGGATGCAGATGCAGCAGGAACTTCCTGCCGGACAAAGGGCCACAATACAACAAACATAAACTATTATCAACACACTGGCTCAGTGAAAAAAATGATAATAATAATAAAATAAAAGCCCATTTTGTAACTCCTAAAGCTTGGGTGAAGAACAGCGATTATTGTTAATGGATCATGGGGGCCGAAATGGCACCACAAGTTTATCTTTGAGCTATGACGGGAAACACTTGTGAGCCAGAGGAATCGCACACACCAGAGTAATCCGGTTCTCGGTCAAGCGGGCATGTGTCTCCCACCAAGGAAAGAGGAACACTGCTGTCAAGTCTGACCTGTTCTGCCCGGCGGGCTCGCGCTGCACTATGAACAACACTGTGCTCCAGTGCTGTCATCTGGGGAAAGTACATCACCACGCCTTTATTCTAAGGCACACTCGGGTGAGCTCAGACTGCCAGCGTCCAGTAAGCATCTGCACTACGCACACACTAACATGTCTTCTGATGGGACACAACATAAAGTAGCCG